ACTAAATTTCAAGCACTAAATTGAAACAGGTTCATGTCATTATACCCTTGATGGAAGAAAAAGTAGCTCTTCTCGATCCTCCACATAATAAGACATAATCTTTAAATGGAGCAAAATCTCCCTCAGTTTTGGCTCCGTTAGTCCTTGTAACTGGTTCTCCCATCCATCCTTCCTCTCGGCCCACAGGACAGTGCTGGGTGCGGGTCGGGCAGTGAGGAAAGCAGTGGGACTTAAACTCACTGGTGTCTTGTGCAAACAGGGTTGTGATCAGTGCTACACACCCACAGCTGGTGAAGAGGGCTGAGGGGGGCATTTGAGCTTGTGTGAGTGGAGTTTTGAAAAACACATGAGATCTGGCCATGAAAGCTGGTGACATTCCTCAGGGTACACAAGACAAAGCGGGTGCAGAGTGCAGGCTCTGGGGAACACTGCCCAGACTCCAAGCTCCTCGCTTTACATGCTGGGGACTTTACTGCTCTGAGGTTTCCAGAACTGTGAAAGGTGTGTGCTAATACACTTACTTCAACTGAGTTGTTCTAAGAAATAACAGTTGAATGTGTGAGACAGTGCCTAGCATGTAAGGAAATATGCGACATTAGCTCTCCAGGCACAGAAAAAAGTATGCATGCCTTCCACTTAGGCTAATTTATCCATTATCTAACACAATTATGTTAAATAATAGATGCAAAGCCTCATATTTGGCCACCCGTTGTTTGTATAATCTCTTTTAAAAGTAAACTAGTAACCTTATTTTTTGTTCTGTGTGACATCTTAGCACATACCACAAAAGCAATGAATAGAATTCAATAAGTTGAAATGAATAGAATAAAATAAGTTGAAAACATTATATATATATCAGATTTCAAAATTTCTAGTCCTTTAAATTGCCCATTTTAAATTCTTTTTAGAAAATTTAAAAAATATATTTTATTGACTTTTAGAGAAAGAGGAAAGGAAGAGGGAGAGAGAGAGGGAAACATCATTGTGAGAGCAAAACATTGATCTAACCTGCAACCCAGGCATGTGCCCTGACCTGGAATCAGACTGGCAACCTTTATGGTGCACAGGATGATGCCCAACCAACTGAAGCCACACCAGCCAGGGCTGAAGATGGTGTTCTTAAAGTTCAATTTTCTAGTGTCATATCTTTTGGTGAGACGGTTGTTATGCGGCCAGGATGGCAAAGATAATTTACACTCTCTCCTACCTGGCGTGTATTAATGGCAGTGAGGTACTTGGTAGTGCTCACTGATATATGCCTCTATTCTAATCACAGATCACTGAAGATGTGCAATATCCTCAGCTTTTTAAAATTGAGGCTGATATGTGCATGTGAATGCACATGTGTGTGCACACAATGAGCCACCAAGGAAGTGCTCATGGCACCAAGGTGGTGTCATAAGCAAGGCAGGGCACAAGCATGCTAAGCAAAGTGCCATCTGACTTCTTACATGTAAGTCTAAAATAAAAAAAGCTTATATTCACTGTAACACAAGTCAAAGTTTTAAGATCATAGTAGGTTCAAGTTAAAGAGCCTAAATTTAAAAAGGCAACAAAACAAATAAGTTTCTATTTTATTTACTTATTTTTTTTGGAAAATAAGCACAACTCAATGTGGGTATTGCTTTTGCTTGAAAGCAAATATAAACGCTGCTGCTTACTAAATGTATGACCTCCAGCAAGAAAGTGTGTCAGGGAAAATGGAAATATCTGTCTCATGGTATTATTACAAGGACTGCATGAGCCATTGTATGCACAATGCTTAGCATAGATTGCACTTGGCAAATAGTAGATATTCAGTTAAAAGTAGTTACTATTATTATTTATACCCCCCCCATGCTTGCATATTTAATTAGACCCTTGAACAGTTAATACCTTAACTCAATGAAATGAGCACTTAGTGGCATACTTTTTAATACTTTGGTATGGAATTAAAGGAGATATATAAATTTGTGCTGGTTTGCT